CGCTCCCGGGAGGCGGCGGCAGCAGCGGCAGCACCAGCACCAGCACCTTCGGCAGCACACCCGGGCGGCCTCGGGCGGGGCCGGCCGGCCGGACAGACAGACAGAGGGCACCGGGGGCGCGCGTCCCTCCTGGGCTGGCCATGGAGGGAGGCTCGTTCGGCGCGGGCCGCGCGGGGGCCGCCATGGACCCCGTGAGCTTCGCGCGGCGGCCGCAGACCCTACTGCGGGTCGCGTCCTGGGTGAGTGGCCCCGGTTCCGGCCCCCGCCCCGGTCCCGGGTCCCGCCTTGCCTCTCATCCCTCGTCCCTCCCCGCTGCCCCTCGCCCCTCGCCCCTCAACCCCATCCTCGTCCCCGCCGGCCCCTCCCCCGCCAGCCGCAGGTTGGGGTGACGTCACCGGGCTGGGCGCGCCCACCTGCGGGAGGGGGAGGGGCCGACGGCAACCGCCCGGGACCTTGAGAGGTCACCGCCCGCCGCCCCCATCCTCCAATTCCTCCTTAGATCTAACTCCGTCCCCTTCCTCAGCCCTCGCCCCGTTTTTCCTGTTCTCACGACCTGGAAGCGGACACAGGGGCGGGGACGGGATTGGGTCTGAGCACTCAGCCTCAGCACGAGGAGGGGGCTATGGAAGCCGAGTACTATCAGGCAGCGCTTACACCTGCTTCTCCCGCACACACAGCCTCCAGGTTCCTTCCAAGGGAGTTGCCCCTTTCCCAGGCCCTCCAGTTGCAATTGTGTGTGTATGTGGGGGGTGCGCTGGGATTCCACTGGGTGGGGCAGCAAGAAGGGGCTCTGCACGGGGAGGGCTTCCTGGGGGTGGTGTGGGAGGGGCAGATTTGGGGACAACCTAGACTACTGGGGCATCCCTAGGCCAGGTGGCCTGCTCCTCCTTCCCACCTCTCCAGGCAGGAGAGATGAGAAGGTGGGGTGACGATCTCTGGGTTTTATTTAGCTGGTGGCACCTGGTGCCAGCCAGCTGCACCTACTGGCTTGTCTTCAAGGAGAGCGGTGCCCAGGGTGGGGTGACTTTGTGCAGATTAGGAAGGAGGAACCCTGTGTTCTGGTGCCAGCTCTGGTCCGACTTGTGGACCACTCTGGGGGCACATGTCCATGCCCTGCACCTGGGTTTCCCTCTTGACTCCGTCTCAAGGAGCTGGAGAGGGGGAGGAGAAATGAAGTTGAAACTGGAGGTCTTTTTTTAGAAACACAGGCTGCCCAGAGCTAAAAGAGCAGCATCTGGTTTAAAATGACTGGTCCAGGGGCGCCTGGGTGGCTCAGTTGGTTAAGCGACTGCCTTCGGCTCAGGTCATGATCCTGGAGTCCCTGGATCGAGTCCTGCATCGGGCTCCCTGCTCGGCAGGGAGTCTGCTTCTCCCTCTGACCCTCCCCCTCTCATGTGCTCTCTCTCATTCTCTCTCTCTCAAATAAATAAATAAAATCTTTAAAAAAAAAAAAAATAAATAAATAAAATAAAATGACTGGTCCAGGGCGCCTGGGTGGCTCAGTCGGTTAAGCGACTGCCTTCGGCTCAGGTCACGATCCTGGAGTCCTGGGATCGAGTCCCGCATCGGGCTCCCTGCTCGGCAGGGAGTCTGCTTCTCCCTCTGACCCTCCTCCCTCTCATGCTCTCTGTCTCTCATTGTCTCTCTCGCAAATAAATAAAGTCTTAAAAAAAAATTAAAAAAAAATAAATAAAATAAAATGACTGGTCCAGAGGCGCCTGGTTGGCTCAGTCTTCAGAGCATGCAACTCAGGGTCATGAGTTCAAGCCCCACGTTGGGCGTGGAGCCTACTTAAAAAAAAAAAAAGTGTAAAATGACTATGGTCTACCACCTACCTGCCTTTTAGCCCTTGTGGTAAGGGGATGCTGAAGTTGGCTGAGCCCCAGAGTTCAACAGTATCACCTTTTTAAAAAAGGACTTGTTTGTTTGTTTGTTATTAGAGAGCGCATGAGTTGGGGGAAGACAGGGAGAGTGAAAATTTTGGGCATACTCCCTGCTAAGCCCGGAGCCCTAGCCCTACTTGGGGCTCAATCCAATGACCCATGAGATCACTACCTGAACCGAAATTGAGTCAGACGCTCACCCAACTGATCCACCTAGGTGCCCCAATACTATCGCCTTTGAGCCCAAACACTTATGATGCTAATAATCAGTCACACGGGGCTATCATCCATTGGGTGCCCACCAAGTGCAGGATGCTGGGTGGGCATTATTTTCTCTGGCCCCAACACTCCATGAGCTGTACCTGTTACTATATTTGGCATGTTAGGAAGCAGGGCCACACAGCTCCCAGATGCTGAGGGTGGGTTCCATGAGGGGTTGGGTGACAGCTGTGCCCCTGTCCTTGCGCTGCTCCCCCCTGTGCTCTTGCCTCCCCCTTCTCCACACCTGCCTCCCATAGCGTCACCCGCTGGAGCCTAGGAATCACTGGTCCAGGTGAAGGCTCCTGTTCCTACAGTTTCGAGGGGGCCATG